ATGCTCCCAGACCAAGAGAAGACTGATGACAAAGACCTTCATCCAGAGCCAACAGAGAGAGAAAGCCTTCCCCTGGAGCCAGTGCCCTGAATTCGGTCTTGTAGCCCACTGGACTGTGAGAGAATAAATTTCTCTCTGTTAAAGCCATCTACTTGTGGCATTTCTGTTATAGCAGCACTGGATGACGAAGACACTTAGTCTCTTAAAACAGCAGTGATCTTTTATTACATCTCAGGGATTCCGTGGTCAGGATTTCAGACAGGCCGAAGTGGTGTGGCTGCCTGCTGTCTGCTGTCTGCAGCCTCAGCTGGAGATGGAAAGCCTGGAGCTGCAACCACCTGAAGGTCAGTGCTGGTGAACTGGGGGCCCAGCTGGGCTGATGCCCCCAGGACGCTGCATGCAGCCTCACCATGCGCTGCGCTTCCTCACAACATGGCAGCTGCTCCACGGGCAAGCGGAGACAGAGAGACAGATACAGAGACGGACAGAAAGGTCCAGGCAGAGCCGCCTCTTTGCTATGACCTCGCCTCCGTCCCCCCGCTGGGGTGAGCACAGGCTCCAGTTTAGATTCAAGGGGAGGGACCAAGACCCTGACTGTCAGTGGGAGCAGGGTCAGTCACCCGTGAGAGGGCCCATGGTAGGGGGAACGTGCAGGTTCAGCCGTCTCTGGAAGAGAGGTGGGGTCCAGCACACAGAAGGATGGTGAGTGCCTGAGGCCCCGGCTCAGACCACTCTCTTCTCAGACCCCGTGGTGGCCCTTCTGGAAAAGCCTGGCCTCGCCCACCCCCAAGACAAACCCATCTCTAATGGAATCAGTGATTTATTAAATATCTGGGCACAGCAGGAAACAAGATTAGCAAATGGAAGAAGTAGTATAGAAAAAATAGTGACTGGTCACGACTGTCCACGCTCTCGGCCCCCAGGCCTGGTGGCCACAGCCTGGCAGGGAAGGGGCCCCGGCAGCAGCAGGCGAATTTGTTGTTGAGGGAACATGATGAAGCCGAGGCTGCAGGGGCAGCTACTCCACATCCACCACCAGGGGCGTCATGTAGTCGGAGTGCTTGATGCCGAAGGTGACCACAGGTGCACAGGGCCTGGTCAACGTCACCTGGGGGCAGGTCCATGAGAGGAGCCCCCGCACTGCCCACACTGACCCTCCTGAGCCCTCACCCTGCATCCTGGGTTGGACAGAGCCTGGCGGGCAGTGAGCACTCAGAGTCCGCTCACACCAGCTCCCGGCCACGTAGGGCGACCCACTGGTGGGAGGGCAGCCTTGGGCTGGGGCTGGACACACATAGGGCCTGAGGGCCCCTTAAACCCCTTCGCTGCCCCTCATCTCATCCTCTCAGAGGCTCCCTGCTGCCCAGGGCACTGAGCCATGGGGAACAAAGCCTGCTTCAGGCTTGACCTAGGTCTCCTGGGACCCCTCTGGCCCATGACGCTGTCCCCTATCCCCACTGGCTCTGGGCCGTGACCCTGCCCTCTCTGGGCTGTGACCCTGCCCCTGTCCCCTCTGGACCCTGCCCCTGCCCCCTCTGGGCCCTGCCCCTGCCCCCTCTGGGCTGTGACCCTGCCCCTGTCCCCTCTGGGCCGTGACCCTGTCCCTTCTGGGCTGTGACCCTGCCTCTGTCCCCTCTGGGCCGTGACTCTGCCCCTATCCACTTTCAGCTGTGACTGTTTCTGTCCCCTTTGGCAGTGACTGTGTCCCCTGCCCCTGCGGCCTCTGTGCTATGTTCCTCTCAGACCTTCTCTGGGCTGTGGGCTCCTGGTCCTGGCTTGAGGGTCTTGTCCCCTGGGGGCACCACACGGGCGGCCATGGTATACTGCGGGGCCTTCAGCTTGGTCAGCTGCACGTCAGTCTGGCGGTAGGCAGCAGGACCTGGGGTCTGGGGGGGAGGGCAGCTCAGACCAGGCTGGGCAGGAAGGGGCAGCTCCGACCGTGGGTGTCGGACCCTGGCCTCTGAGACGCCCTTGCAGGCTGGCACCAGTGCCAGGCGTCCCCCCTCCCGGGGAGGCGGGGGTCTCCAACATCACCCAACTGCTCGTGGCCTTCCCTGTGTGTAACACGCACCTCCCCTCTCACCTTCCTGTGGCACTGACCCCAGAGTGTGCCCACCCTGAAATTGTTCCACCCCTGGAGCCAGGGCACTGCACTGGATATGCCCCCTCCTCAGGGACCCTCGCCCCACATCTTGTCACTCCTGCCCTTGCCTTGTGGGGCCGTACTTTTCTCCTCTTCTCACTTCTTCCTCCTCACGGTGCCGCCCTGTCCCCAGGGCCACCCTGTCCCCAAGTAGCACTCTAGTGGTCACTGCCCACCTCTCTGGGTCCCTCTGCCTGTGGTCTGCCTGCTGCCCCCTCCTCACAGACAGAGCCTTCAGCAGGGCAGGGGCTTTGCTTACTGCAGACCCCCAGCTAGAGCTGGTGCCAGCACATGGTGGGCACTGGGAGGGTGAGGGGCTGAGGGGAACAAGGGAGTCCAAGGGAGCCTAGAAATCTGAGGGGTGCTGCGGTGTCCTGGGGGCCTGAGGCGGTGGATGGCTTTGGTGGGGGCCCAGAGAGACCCCCAACCCACCCTCAGGGTTTCTGGCTGTGGGGAGGGCCAGACAGTGGGGGGAGGGGCAGTGCTAGCCCTAATCATAACCCCCTCCCCCATGACACTTGCCTTGTGCAGATCATCACTGAAGCTGCCCAGCTTGCTTCGGCCCTTGATGGAGAAGGAGGGCTGGGATGTCTTGCCCACCGTGTGCGGCCCCATCACCATGGGCAGCGCATACGCCGCGGGACCTGGTAACAGGGCAACCCTCAGCCCTTGGCACCAGCCTTGGGCCACAGCCCTCCCCCCGCCGGTCCCTCCCTAGGACGCCACCTCAGACCAGCAACCTCCCCGCCCCATCTCCGCAGGTCCCTCCCTGACCGCCCCCATGAAGACCAGCGGTCCCTGTCGGCAGTGGACGCGCGGCTGCCGTGCACCTGGGGTGCTGTCCACCCTGAATGTCCTGGTCCGGGCTGAGATGGAGTGGCTGGGCGCCGAGTCGAACACATACTTGGTGGATTTCTCTGGGAAGTAATCGCCTGGGGGAAGCGTGGGCATCAGGTGTGCTGGGCCCTGGCCAACGGGGAGTGGACGCCCGACATGTCAGGCGGGCTTCCAGGCCCAGTGCGGCAGTGATGGGCATGGACTCAGGGCAGAGGGCGGAGCGGTGATCTGAGGAAGTAGAGGGGGCCTGAATGGGTGGGGAAGGAGGCCCCAGGTGTCTCATAGGCCCCAGGCGCGGTGCTGTCCCCGTCTGTTGGGACAGGCTGAGGCTGGGCCCGATCCTGCCAGGCTCACCGGGGCCTGGGGTCAGTGTGGTCTTGGTGTGGTAGCGCCCTAGGATGGAGTAGGCGGGGCCGAGGTCCTTGCCCGTCCTCAGTATCTTGGGGTTCACGCTGTAGCGGGGTCCCGGGGAGCAGTTCTCTGCCAGGAGCAGGGGGGCCCCCCGGAAGCTGTAGGCTGGTGCACGCAACTTGGTGGGGGTGTGCTTCACGAAGCCTGGGGGAGAGGGCAGCCCTCAGCCCAGAGCTGGGAGGTATCCTCCACTCCCTGCCCTCCCCATCCCTCACCTCTCCTCCCTGGGCTGTCCCTCCTCCCTGGCTGTCTCTTGCCCCCGCTGCTTGTCCCTCCAGCTGTTCCCAGCACTCCCCCCCACCCCCACTTCTCACTGGCCCCCTCCTGGCCCGCAGGCTCCTACCCGTGGTTGGTGGGATCAGGTACTTGGGTCCTGGGCTGCTGTAGAGGGCCATGATGGGCCCCCGGGGGCGGTGGGGCCTCCAGGTGCCCACCCACACCTCCTCCACCATGGCCGGCTCTGTCCAAGGAGAGGCAGCAGCTCACTTGGTGCCTGCCGGCTCCTTCCCCGCCCCCACCCTGCTCTACCTGCCAGCCGGAGTTGGGGAGCAGTAGGACTTGTTCCTTGCAACGGTGAGGCAGAGATGAGAAGCCCCAGAGGGGTTGCTTACGCCCCTCCGGGAGCTCCAGGGGGCTAAGGTAGGGGCTCCTGGGGGTGGGAGGGGCTGCAGAGCAGCAGGGGCCTCACCTGTCGGTACAGACCAACCTAGGGACCGAGCTGCTCAGTGGGGTTCCTGACCGCTGGTCTCGGTGCCCACACCAGGAGCATGGAGGGAAGGGCTTTTCTTTTTCTTTTTCTTTTTCTCCAAGCTGTGAGAACTGGGAAGGGCCGCCCGAGCTCTAGAATGTGCTCTTTGGGCGCAGGTTCTAGATCCTTGTCTCTGTGACAGGACAATGGCTGAGGGGCCACCTCCCCCCTCCAGGCCCTTTCTGGCTCCTCTGTGGTGATCAGGAAAGGGGGCTGGAAAAGGACAGTGAGTGCAGCACCCAGAGCGTGGAGGCCTCAGCCCCTCCTCCAGGGGACGCTCTCTGTCAGAGAAACTGGGTCCTGATCAGGACCAGGGTCTGAGCTACTTGTTAAGGGGCAGGAGCAGGTGGGAGGTGCTGATCAGGCAAGGGCCGATGTCCTGCCCAGGGCTGGGCCCCTTTTCAACCTTGTGCCCCTCCCCCGACCAGCCGATGGGCTCCTCAGAGGTCCTCCTTGTCCCTGGCTCTCGGCAGACTCTCTTTGCGGCTTTGGATAGTGGCTTGCTCCTAACCCCGCTGCGGACCTGGTCACTGTGTGAACTTACTGTGCTCTCGTCTGGAGCAACAGCTGGCGGAGTCACTCACGGGCAGGTGAGGCATGGCTCATCTGCAGATGTGCACCCTGCTCCTGCCCCCAGTGGTGGCCTTGCTGACCTGCCCACCGCCCATCCCTCTGTGCACCCCAAGCATGTGACCTTCTGTGTGTAAGTCTGCTCACGTGGGGGATCCCTGAGTAGAAGAGACGGAGCCAGAGCCTGAGCTGTGGGAGGCTTTATTGATGCAGCAACTTGAGGATAGATTTCACGAGGGAAGGGGGGCAGGGCTGCGTGGCCGTGGCTGCTCGGGGCTGTCGGGGGTCCACTCAGGGGCCATCTTCACTGCCCAGCACTCGTACCTGCAAGGAAGGCGTGTGGGCCAAGACCCCAGGGCTTCCTTGCTTGGTGACCAGTAACAGAGCCATGCCAGGGGAACATGGGCTCCAGCACTTTGTGGCCAGTCCCCTGCCAGCCAGCTGGGGAGGTGGTGTGTGTACGTGTGTGTACAAGTGTCTGTTGTGTGTGTGTGTGTGTGTCTGTGCACGAGTGTGTGCATGGGGTGGGGGTGGGGGCCCTCGGCTGCGAGAGGAGCAGGTCTGGGGGCCTGACAGGCTGAAGGATGCCCCGTGGGGCAGTGAGGTCTAGCATGCCCTCCTCCGCTGGCCGGGGCAGGTCGAGGTCTGGGGGTTTGTGGAGGCCCTCAGGGGATGGGTGTCGGGCCCCCAGCCTCACCAGCAGTTTGACCAGCTCTGCCTTGTGCATGGGCTGCAGGCCGTCGATACAGGACTTGAGCTCCGCCAGCGCCCACTTGGCATCTGCATTAACCTTGTACTTGCCCAGGGGCCCCTCGTAGAGATCCTCCAGAGACCCCACCAGCAGTGTTTGCAGGAAGTCCATGAAAAGCTCGCTGCTGTCTTCCCCTTTGGCCAGTTCTGTCACGGGGTGAGAGATGCCAAAGACAGGACCCCAGACTGGCCTGGGTGCTGCAACCTCAGCGGTCTCCAGACCTTCCCCATAACACCCACGTTTCCTCACACATGATGCCCCCCATGATGCCCTCCCCATGATGCCCCCACCTCACCTGTCTGCAGACCTCATCCCACCCCCTTTCCCCTCCTGGTCCCCTGGAACCACTGGGGAAGGAAAGTCGAAGCTGGAATCTCCCCTGACCCTGGTGGTCTGACCTGGGGCTGGAGGACCAGGGTCAGGATGGGCCAGGGCTGGTCGAGGCTGGGTCTAGGGTTGCACCAGGTGGGGACCGTGCTGGGCCAGGGCTGGTCGAGGCTGGGTCTAGGGTTGCACCAGGTGGGACTGTGCTGGCAGGGACTCCAGGCCCAGGCCAAGGGTGCGTCAGTGCTCGGTTTGTGATGGGACAGCAGGGCAGTGTGGAAAACCGAGTGTCCCTGGGAGGGTGCCTGATGCCCAGATCTCAGCTTCCCAGCCCACCTCCCCCACACATGGGATGTGCTGGAAGCACTGTGTCTGCCCATGGTGGCACAGACTCACCACAGACGCAGAGCAAGGCAAGGGTCGCCAACAGGAAGGTGTAGCTGCCCTTCATGGTGCGAGGCGGCCTTGGCTGTGCAGCTGCCTCAAGCCGGTTCCTGGGGTTTTATGCCTCAGCAGGTGGCACCCATCCCTGTGGGCTGGCCACCTCGCCCCGCCCCGCCCCGCCCTGCAGGTGAGACCAGTGAGGCAGCCCAAGGGCACGTCCTCATCCCTGGCCCCCAGCACCCCCTGTGTGGTAGTCAGAGGATGCAGATGAGCTTGGGGTGAGATTGTGGGAGGGCTTGAGGACGGTGGTGGTGGGCATAAGGATCAGGGGTGGGAGTGAGCTGGTGAGTGTGGGAGGTAGGAGCCCCGCTCCAGGGTCTGGGCAACACTTGGGCTGGGGCCTAGGGCGTGGTTCTGGGGTCTTGTAGGGCTGACAGGTCTCTGAGCTCAGGGACCCGGCCTGGAGACGTCCGATGGAGCTGTGGAGCAATTGGGATCTTGCGGAGTCGGCGCTGGGCTGAGGGGCAGGAGCTTGAAGCGGGCACCACATCCGGGGCATAAAAGGCCATGGATCGGGGGCCAGTGGTAGGGCCCAGCTGTTCTGACCCCAGAGGCCAGGAGCACCCCCCCGCAACACACACTGTGTCACAGCAGGAACTGAGGAGGGGCCACTCTGTGGCCAGCACGGATAAGGGCCTTTTCAGTCTAAGGTCTAAGACGCTGGGAGACGCCTCAGTGCAGCTTATGATGAAGACAGGAGGCTGAAAGTCCCAGCTCCCCCAAACCAAAGCAGCCCCAAGAGCTGCCATTACTGGGGTGGCTGGAGCCCCTCTGCCTGCTCCTGCCCGCTCCTCCTGTCCCCTGCTGCCACCTGGTGGCCAATGGCATCCGCCTGGACCCGGCCAGCTCACCCTTGAAGAGTGGATGCTGACTTACCCTCCCATCGTGCTCATCACCCTGACCTCGCCCAGACCTCCCTCTGTGCCCCCAGTGTGGAGCCCCGCAGCAGGAGTGCCTCTCTACAGCAGTCCTCACTGCCCAGACGCCGCCCCCTCACTAACATGAAACAGAATTCAAAGATGATGTGACCTACTTATATGCAGACTCACAGCGACCCCATGTGACAGAGGAGAACTGCCTCATAGGGTTTTCTAGGGTATAATCTTTACAGGAGGAGATCACTAGATCTTCTCTTCGGCAAAGCGGCTGGTGGGTTCAAACCCCTGACCTTTCAGTTAGCAGCCAAGCGCTTAACTGTTGCGCCACATTAGGTTGCTAGGAGATGAAATCAACTTGAGGGCGCCTGATAACAACTTATACACATACCTCCACAGTGAAGGAAAACTAACGAGCAACAAAGTAATCTGTGATCAAACCATGTGGCCCCGTGGGCAGATTTGACTGTTTCAGGATCCCTGGGGTCCCCTGGGGCGCTGAGCCCATGTGGCTGCCGTGACCGTCCCCTTTTTCTGTGCTCCCCAGCACTTCTAAATCTAATTCGGGGGTTCTTGGGCTGTTCATTAACATCGCCTGGGGAAGATATTTTAGTCCTGGTTCAGGGGCTTCAGGGCTTCATCAGCCCAGACCACTGGAAGCCATGACATCCGTGGTTCTGAAATCTTCCAGATGATTCCTACGGCCCACAGCCCTCAGGCCTCCCCACCATTTACCCTCTTCCTCTCCATTTTTAATGTATTTAATTTTATTTAGTAATTCATTTAATTATACTTAATATTATTTTATTGAATTTAAATTAATTTTATATGTAATATGATTTAATTTATATACTTAACATTTAATTTTATTGATTTTATATAATGTTTTCTTTTAAGGGAGCCCATTTACAATGAGATAAGCCAGAAGTATATTTATGAAACATTATTGATGGATTAGTTTCGTTTAAAGGTAGGTAAATCGAATGATAATAAATTCTGGTTTGGGAATAAAAAGTTAAATTTACAACTGTTGAATAATTTCCAAGCATAGAGACAAAGTTAAAACAATGCTAGAGATTTCTTAGTTGATCACACAATTTGCTGATTGGATAACGCGCAGCGTGGAGTAGGTGTTGCACCTTGAACGAGGCAGTATGGGGTGTTTATAATCCGAGGAACAAAGAAAGCCAGGGAAGTCCAAGCGGTTCATGTCCCTTGAAATCCTTTCTTTCTCAGAATCGTGTTTGGCTAAGAAGACAAAGGAAGCAGTTATGAGGGGTCAGTGCTTGCTGACGCCAGCTTGTCTGGAATGCAGAGCTATTCTAAACGGGTTCGTTACACATAAACCTAAAGAAACAAGCTAGTTATTATCGCTAAGGTTCAGGTTACTTTCTTTAACGTTTGCCCTGTGAGACCAAGTAGCAGCCATGCTCTCCTGGGCTTGGCATAAGTGACTTCATCTTGTTTTTAGCTTCCACAGCCACACAACAATGTGACTTTAAATACACCGAGGCGGCCGCGGCTCCCTCCCTGGGGCGGTGGGTCCCGCGGGAAGAAAAGCTCCCGCTCGCGCCTGGGGAGCGGCGCCCGGGTCCCACGCTCGGGGCCCGGGAGGGCAGAACCGACGGTGCGCGCGCCCTCTCGTGGCCGTCCGCCGAGTCGCTGAAGTGCAGCGTCCGGCGATTCTAAGCCACGGTTTTGGAAGATGAAACTGAAGTGCGGCGCACCATCCCGTGCTTGGAAGGGAACGGTGGGAACAACAAAAGGTAAAGCATGAGCTCAGTATTCAAGAGTCGGTTGAGTGTTAGAACGATCGGGAGGGAGGAAACAGGCGGAGAGCCGAGAGGCCCTGGGATGGAGAGGCTGGGCCTCCTCTGGCCGGCGGTCTTCTCACACCCGCCTCCCCACCAGGACCGGGTTATTTAAGGGGTGCCAAGAAACTCAGTAGCCAGGATTAATGACACTTTAATGAAATGTACTCTAAAAATTAAAACAATTCACGATTAACAAAATATCGAAATTTTAGAGATGTCCAGGCTGGAAGGGCAGGCCAGGAGGATGGGCCTGGCAGAGAGGCCAGGGGGAGGTGGCGCTAGCGAGTGGGGGAGTGGCTGCCCATCCAGGGGAGCTGAATGTCTCTGAGGAGTTAGCACCCGTGGCTGGAGAAGGCTTAGGGCATGGACCCGAGCCCTCCCCAAGAAGGGCTGCCGGGGCGGGGGGTGGGGGGGTCTGGCTAGCGCCTCCTGTCCAGCCCTCCTCTGGTCTGCCCCGTCCCCTGGTGTCTTTGAGGGGCAGCCTGAGCTCACTCGCCACACCCAGGCCCCCCCACCATGCGTCCCCAAAACATCTACCACCGCTGCTCCAGCCCGTCGGTTTGCACCCTGGTTTTGTGTCTCACACCTCCTGCCCTTGCTCTCTCCTTCTGTTTGCCCCTCACTCAGCATTTGGATGAACAAGCTTCCCTGAAACCCCACGCCTGGCTCAGCCTACGCCCCCTCTCTTCTCGGCCGGCACCCTGTCCCAGCTCTGTCCCCGCCCCGCCCCGCCCCGCCCATGGCTCCTCTCAGCCCTGCCTCTATGCCCAGCCTGTGATCTTTCATAGATGGCTCTGCAGATGACGACATTGAAGAGAGAGAGAAGGCTGGGCCTGTTCTGGCCTGGCCTGTGACCTGCCTGCCACCAGGCCAAGCAAAGTTTGTTGTTGTTAGGTGCGGTTGAGTCAGTTCCAACTTACAGGGACCCTAGGCTCCCCAGAATGAAACAATGCCCAGTCCTGTGCCATGCTCACAATCGTTGTTATGCTTGAGCCCATTGTTGCAGCCACTGTGTCAATCCCTCTTGTTGAGGGTCTTCCTCTTCTTTGCTGACCCTCTACTTTACCAAGCATGATGCCCTTCTCCAGGGGCTGGTCCCTCCTGATAACATGTCCAAAGTACATGAGATGTAGTCTGGCCATCCTTGCTTCTAAGGAGCATTCTGGTAGTACTTCTTCCAAGACAGTTTTTTTTGTTCTTTTGGCAGTCCATGGTATATTCAATATTCTTCAATAACACAATTCAAAGATGTCAGTTCTTCTTCGGTCTTCCTTATTCATTGTCCAGCTTTCGAACGCATATGATGCAATTGAAAATACCATGGCTTGGGTCAGGCCCACCTTAGTCTTCAAGGTGACATCTTTGCTTTTCAACACTTTAAATAGGTCTTTTGCGGCAGATTTGCCCAATGCAATGCGTCTTTTGTTTTCTTGATTGCTGCTTCCATGGGTGTTGATTGTAGATCCAAGTAAAATGAAATCCTTGACAACTTCAATCTTTTCTCTGTTTATCAAGATGTTGCTCATTGGTCCACTTGTGAGGATTTTTGTCTTCTTTATGATGAGGTGTAATCCATACTGAAGGCTGTGGTCTTTGATCATTATCCATAAGTGCTTCAAGTCCTCTTCACTTTCAGCAAGCAAGGTGTGTCATCTGCATAACAGGTTGTTAATGAGTCTTCCTCCAACCTTGATGGCCCATTCTCTTCACATAGTCCAGCTTCTCGGATTATTTGCTCAGCATGCAGATTGAATAGGTATGGTGAAAGGATGCAACCCTGATGCACACCTTTCCTGAATTTAAACCACACAGTATCCCCTTGTTCTGTCTGAACAACTGCCTCTTGATCTATGTACAGGTTCCTCATGAGCACAGTTAAGTGTTCTGGAATTCCCATTCTTTGCAACGTTATCCACAATTTGTTATGATCCACACAGTCGAATGCCTTTGCATAGTCAACAAAACACAGTTGAACATCTTTCTGGTATTCCGTGCTTTCAGCCAGGATCCATCTGACATCAGCAATGATATCCCCGGTTCCACGTCCTCTTCTGAATCTGGCCTGAATTTCTGGCAGTTCCCTGTCGATATACTGCTGCAGCTGCTTTTGAATGATCTTCAGCAAAATTTTACTTGCTTGTGATATTAATATTGTTCAATAATTTCCGCATTTGGTTGGATCACCTCTCTTGGGAACAGGCATAAATATGGATCTATTCCAGTCGGTTGGCCAGGTAGCTGTCTTCCAAATTTCTTGGCATAGACGAGTGAGCACTTCCAGTGCTGCATCAGTTTGTTGAAACATCTCAACTGATATT